CACAGCAAGTGTTGGGAAAAAGGGACTGAAAAGTGACGATTACTGCCTTTTGTCCTCACTTGGGTCTCTGTGGTCTAGAAATATGGACTGTGAACCTTTATTATTTTGTGGAACATTGCTCCTTCTATTAAAATTTACATAATTCTTGATCCCAAATGTCAAATAATACAGAAGTTTATAGAGTAAAAACTACAATTCCTCCTTTGTGCCCTCATCCCACCCTCCTGGCCCAAAGTTTTCTATTGATTACAGATCTTTTTCCATGCCTTTACGCACATATATTTACATATAGAAGAACACATAATTTTTGCTTTTTTTTAAACATAAATGAGATTATGCTGTGTGTGTGTGTGTGTGTGTGTGTGTGTGTATCTGCACATTGCCTTTCACTTATAGTATGTTATAGCTTTCCATGTTCATAAAAGTAAGTCCCCCTCTTTCATTTTACAGCTATATTATATTCCAGGCAATGGATCTGCTGTACTTTATTGAACTGTTTCTCTGTTAATGGGCATTTATGTTGTCTTTGATTTTTTGCCAGTATATAAATAGTGCTTCAATAAACATTCCTGTATTTACATTTGGGGACTAGTGAATCTTTCGAGAGGAGAAATGTGTGAACCCGTAAAATCATAGAAGTGGAAGAATCTTTTATTCTAAGCCCCGTTTTTTCTTTCCATCAGGAATATTTTATGCAGATGCCTTACAACATAAGTATCCAAATGGGTCTCTCATTCTTGTGCCTACCTGGTGTGGGCTCTGAGCCCACAGAGTGGCAGGCAAGGGGCAGGTTTGACTAATGTCCGGAAGTTTCTCCTAAGCTCTGGCCCCAAGCCAGCGGGAACGGAATTGCTGGTTCATTCCAGCAGAGGGTGACTGGTCTGAGCGGGACGAGGGAGTCTCCTCCAGGTCCTGGTGGTCATCAGCCTGCCAGCGTAAACAGACCAGCCACACCAGCTGAGCGGCATCACCACATATGCAGGAGCGGGCGGCTCCTTCCCGATTTGCACAGAATGCACTTGGCTCTCTGTGTGCTGGATCCGCTGCTTCTGCTGGAGGGGAGCTGAAATTCCGCAGCAGGGCACTCAGGGAGTTTAAGCGGCCCCGGGGAGTTCATTAGAAGCCTCCCTCACTCCCTCCACACTCAGATTTCGCTCAGAGCTTTGTGGCCAGGCCTTTGGAAACCAGGCGCCTGGGTAGACATTTCTTCATCTGCCTTTGTTCACATCAGGGGCTCTGAGAGTGTCACTTGTTAAAATCCAAGCAGGTGACTTAGGAAGATTCTTTTCTCCAGCAGTGGCCACGCACTCTGAGTGTAATGGCCTTAAATGGACCGACTCTGCCCACCCTGACCTCCTGGACAGACCCTTGGGTAGCTGGGCCTTCCTTACAGACCACACTTCACATAACATAGCAGACTGTCAAATAATATTCTCTTTTCTGGAAATAGCCCTTGTTTCTTTCCAAAGCCTAATGCGTGAAAAATACTGACATAACAAAAACTTAAGCTATTGTGTGCCTTTTTCTTCCCTCTTTAGTTCTCCATTTCAGTTTGCAGAGGATTTGATTACTGCCCTCTTGGTTTAATCTCCTTTCTCTGTGCTTGCCTTCCTTCTCTTGACCACTAGAGCCTTCTGCAATGGGAGGGGAGGGGCCACCGTGGTCCCCCAGAGGAAGGCGGTGGTCAAGGCGTGGGCCTCTGGCTTCGTCTGCTGGGCTGATTGGTGATCCATGATTGGTGATTCATGAACGATGAATGGCGGGGCCAGCTGACTTTCACGCTCCAGCAGGGAGCCTCCCAGCCTCTGCCCTCCCCTTCAGCTCCTGCTGGAAGATTCCCACTGTGCCGCTTGGGAGGGAGGGGAGGGGCAGCTGAAGGGGAGGTGTACCAGGCTCATAAATGATGTTTCTGGCTCAGAGGATCAGTGATCTCTAAATCAGGTTTTCATTGCCCAGATGGCAGAGGCAGAAACCAAAGGACTGGAGTGGGTCTCAGAGCCCTTTCCCCGCTCATCTCAGGCTCTGGGAATACCAAAGGCCCGCAGCCACCCCAGGGCTGTGAATGTGACAGTCTGTTGTGCAGGAGAGGTGAGGGGCCTAGAATGATACATTTGCCTGGTGATTTCGTAGAGGCCCGGGGCATGAAAGGCAGCGTCTTCTCATTGTATACCCTTGCCCCCTGCGTGGGCCAACTGTCCACACTGAACAGCGCCCCGCCACCCGTGCGCCGGAGAGCACAGAGGCCCAAGCAAGCGGATGTCTCCTTGGGGTGAAGAAAGTGGGGCGGGGCTTGGGATCCAAGTCAGGTCAATGAAGGCTGGAGGTTGTTCCTTCCTTTCTGGGGCCCCTGTGAATGGCCCAAACCCCAGGATTTATGGTCGTTTCTGCGGAGACCTTGAGGGCTGTGCCAGTGTGGGCAGAGGAAGAGCCTCAGCCAGGCGCCAGCCGAGCGGCTCTCTGGTCCCCAGCCCCAGCCCACCTCTGCCCAGCTGTGGGGCTGTGGCTTGTCCTCCGGCCGAGCTTCTCCACTCTGCAGGGACTCTGGGGTCAGATGAGGTCATGGGGTGAAAGCACTTTACGAACTAAGCCACACTGCGAATGTGTTTCATTTAATGGAAATGGGAAAAAAAGGGTCACCACATTAGAACTATGCAGGAGAGCAAAGCCAAATTCCTTGTTTTGCTCCCTTCTGGGATCAGGGATGCAGAGCGGAGGGTCAGCTCCAGGCTGGTTAGCAGCCTCGGGAGAGGTGGCGACAGTAGCTTCAAGGCCGGGTCTGGGGCTGGCTTCCTGCTCTGAGGCCAGTTCAGTGGGTCATAGGGCCCTGGCTCCTCAAAGGCGTCCTCTGTTGCCCAGTGTGCCCATGTCCTTTCGAGGTCCTTGAGCTGCATCTTAGGATAGGGCGTTCCAAAATCTCTTAATGTGGAGACTTTGTCTGTCCTAAACTTGATCTCGCTGAGTCTCCACTGGCGCCCTCCTGTGCTTGTGTGTTGGGTCTTGCAACAAGTCAGTGGTTGCAGGGCCCAAGGGTCCACCTGGTGGGGTGGCTCCGAGGACCACTAGGCTTCCTGGTTGTGAGGCCGATGACTTCCACCTCCTCATGGGAGGTCCAGCCCTCTCCATCAGCAGCAGGGGACATTGAGGCCCAGTTAGGTCACTGGGACGTGAACCAACAGCCACTTAGAGCCACAGAGAGCTGCCCAGAGGCCTGCAGGCGGCCTCCCTTAGCTGGGGTTCCGGAGTCGGTTGTCTGCTGTGAGTTTTGAGGCTAAGGGATGGTCCTGGGAGGCAGCAGAATGTCTCATTTCTCAGGGATTCTGTTCACTTATCCTGAAGCCACGGTGTCAAACTGCCCGACTTTGTGTTAGCGCCTGCATCTCCCTCCACGGCGGGGACATTGATTACTTTGTCAGTAAGAATCGGTTTCAAAGGTGGAGCAGAATTAAGCGAGGGTGTGCTTTTTGCTAAAGGAAGGGGAGGGCGGGATGGAGTTTATTGAGCATCTGCTTTGTGTGAGATTCTGTGTGAGGCTCTTTAATTCTTAGATCACTCTGTGAGACAGGTGCTGGTGTCCAGAGACGGCAGCCGGGGACGGGTTAACTAGTCTCAAGTCAAACGCTAGTGAGTGAGGAGTCAGGATTCCAACCCAGGAAGGTCTCATATCGGGATGGGTGTTTTCCCAGCCATGTCTATTCACACCATTAGCATAGCCACCTGGGCACTGACCCACCGGCCCCCGCCCTCCATCCTCCAGGGAGTTCTCATATGTGACCTGGAGTCCACTTTAAATGAGCTTGGCCATTAAGCTTGACTTGCAGTCAGTCATTACCTGTGATAGGTGAGACAGAAGAACAAACATCTTACTATATGAGATCACTCTCAGCTGGGCAGCCTTGGGCCCATTATTTTCATTTTCACCTCCCCCTTCCCATCGCCATGCTGCTGACCCAGGGCTGTGTCATGGAGGGATTTTAGGGCTCTCAAGTGGACAGGTCAACGGGAGAAGACAGCCCCTGGCAGCTCTTGCGGCTCGTGTATTTGTGGAGAAATCATTTCCAGGCACAGTGACACCTTGGGGTGTCTCTGTGACTCCTTGGGTGTTAAAATGGTGACAGTTCAGAGTGTTGGCCTCACATCAGGTCAGCAGGGAAGACAGTTGAGAAGATGTTCAGCCCCTCCAGAAATGCAGCAGGTGGTGATTTCATCTTTGGGTCTTGGCACAAGCTGCTCTTGAAGCGGTTGGACAAATAAAGGATGGAAAAGAGGCGATGGCCCAGAGCTTTAGACAGCTGGTGGCCGCCCTTAGTTGAAAATCACATGGCAAACACAGAGTTGGCGGGTTTGGGGTGCAGTCATGCTGCGGGGCGTTCCACACGCGGACCACATTCCCAGTGGTCTTCACGATTGCAAACCGGAGGCGGCCTAAGACCCAGGTTTACACACACATTTTGCAGAAAGATGAAAAGCACTGAGTCACATTTCTGATGCAAATTTGGAAGAGAATCTGAAACACTCTCATTAAGACACCAGAGCAGGACACTTGTAGTACAGCAGTGCCAGGAACAGAGCCACTCCGCATTCTTTGGGGACGTAGGTAAAATGGCTCCACTGTCCCCGCTGAGAACCAGCCGGCCATCCGTGTCGCCATGGCTGCGGCTCGGCTGCCTGACATTTCTCTGGCTCCCAAACACTGTTGATTTCACACCCTGGGCACCTCCAGGCTGGCGATGTCTTGAGAACACAGCCATCAAAGACGGAGAAGCAAACCCTGTTTCTCTCTTTGAACACCACATGGATTTGGATTCTGCGTATGTTTTACTTGGTTTTGCAGAGTTCTGTTATGGTTGTTTTCATTTCTCCTTTCTTTGCAAAGACACCACAAAGCTAAGGCAAAACAGCTGAGCATCTCGGGGTGCTGGAAAAGCACTTTGATGGAAACTTGAATGTTTTCTAATGAAGCCATTTTCTTCCTCCGTCATTTTTGTCTGCTTTTCCTGTAGGTCATTTGATCACTGCCCTCAGCACCATGGATTTGCATCTCTTTGACTACTCAGAACCAGCGAACTTCTCTGACATCAGCTGGCCATGCAACAGCAGCGACTGCATCGGCGTCGACATGGTGCTGTGTCCCAACATGCCCCACAAGAGCATTCTGCTGTACACGCTCTCCTTTATTTACATTTTCATCTTCGTGATCGGCATGATCGCCAACTCCGTGGTGGTCTGGGTGAACATCCAGGCCAAGACCACAGGCTACGACACGCACTGCTACATTTTAAACCTGGCCATTGCTGACCTGTGGGTGGTGGTCACCATCCCAGTCTGGGTGGTCAGCCTCGTGCAGCATAACCAGTGGCCCATGGGAGAGCTCACGTGCAAGATCACTCACCTCATCTTCTCAATCAACCTCTTCGGCAGCATCTTCTTCCTCACGTGCATGAGTGTGGACCGCTACCTCTCCATCACCTACTTCACCAACACCTCGAGCCGCAGGAAGAAGATGGCTCGCCGTGTGGTCTGTGTGCTGGTGTGGCTGCTGGCCTTCTGCGTGTCCCTGCCTGACACCTACTACCTGAAGACCGTCACGTCGGCTTCCAACAATGAGACCTACTGCCGGTCCGTCTACCCCGAGCACAGCGTCAAGGAGTGGCTGATCAGCATGGAGCTGGTCTCTGTCATCTTGGGCTTCGCCATTCCTTTCTCCATCATTGCCGTCTTCTACTTCCTGCTTGCCCGAGCCATCTCCGCATCCAACGACCAAGAGAAGCACAGCAGCCGCAAAATCATCTTCTCCTACGTGGTGGTCTTCCTGGTTTGCTGGCTCCCTTACCATGTCGTGGTGCTCCTGGACATCTTCTCCATCCTCCACTACATCCCCTTCACCTGTCAGCTGGAGAACTTCCTCTTCACGGCCCTGCACGTCACCCAGTGCCTGTCTCTCGTGCACTGCTGTGTCAACCCCGTGCTTTATAGCTTCATCAACCGCAACTACAGATACGAGCTGATGAAGGCCTTCATTTTTAAGTACTCGGCCAAAACAGGGCTCACCAAGCTCATCGATGCCTCCAGAGTGTCGGAAACAGAGTACTCCGCTCTGGAGCAGAACACCAAATGATGCGCTCTGCAGGGTCTCCGGACATGTGACCAGGGCACTGGGCTACATTGTTTTCAACAGTACAGCAAGGTGGTTTCGGGGCTTGATGCCTGAGTAGCGTGAAGAAGGGAACGGGCATCACTGTGCATCTGTTCTCCCTTTCTCATGCCAATGTGGCTGTCGCGTGGCTTGGCGTTCTGATGGTTTTGCATCACCACCAGGATTACCTGTCAAAGCCAGCCTCGGGACAGGCTAGCCTGCACTTCTGTAAAATAGGACTTTCTGTGTTCCCTGAAGGTTTTATATGGTGATTTGTATTTAAATTTTAAGACTTTATTTTCTCACTCTTGGTGTACCTTATAAATGTATTTGAAAGTTTAAATATATTTTAAATATCTTATGGGAGGTATAATGCTGACATATATTCAGAGTGTTGTAGTTTTAAGATTAGGTGGACTTTGGTGTTGACTAAGGATGACATTAATTGTTAGCTGTTCTGAAATTATATATATATATATAAATATATAAATATATAAATATATGCCAGTTTTGGCCAAATGTTTTATTTACGATAGTTTTATATCTGTGTGGTGCTCTGTGCCAGCCTGGGAAGTGGACCGAAACTGCTGTGTAATGCAGTTGGTGACAGGAATAGTGTTGTAAAGTTACATTTAAAAAACGAAACGAGGCAAAGCTGTTCCAGGCTGTGACACCGTGCAGCACGAACAGTCGTATTTGTAAGTTATTTTTTTTAATAAAGATCTTTTTTTTTCCCCCTAAAAAAAGCATGTGAGTCTCAGTTTTAATTGCATGTTTGGCATTTAGGTGGCATGGATGATAATAGTGTACAAATATATACAGGTCAACCTAATAAATATGTTTAAAGAGAGAGAGTATGACCATCAACCCCAAACCCAATGGGTTAACCAGGATGCAATGATATAAAAGGAAACACATTTGAGTGCATTGAGTGTTTTGGGGTTTTAAAAAAATTTTCACAACGATGTTTTTGAGGGAAAGGGAATGGTTGATATGCAGCTTCGAAGACAAAGTTGGTGCAGGAAGTTCCTGCCTGCTGTTGGCCTGGAGGGTTCAGAGCCCGGGACTCATGTCCTCATATGTGCCCCCACTATGTGCCACGTATCATAGCCCCTTGAACCTTCTCTGCTAATGTTCTGTGGTTTAAGTCCTGCTTTCCCTGTCTCTGTACATGGCAAACTCTTCATTTAAGAGAGAACCCGTCAATCACCCTCTTCCTGAGGCCCTGCAATGAGTGAATTCCTGACTTGTGCATTGCCAAATAAACCTGCTTTACAGGCAGTTTGATAGAGCACTCTCAGAACGGCTGAGGCCGCCATGCACTCACCAACTCTAGGTGGGGCCACAAGAATGGCGGGGACGTCAGCAGGCAGGTCCGTCTGGGCAGGAGCTCAGAGGAGGGCCTGGCTGTCCTCACCCCCTCTACCTCTGATGGGACCGATTTGCACAGAGAGCTATTTGCCAACGCAAAGGTGGGCCCAGACCAGGAGCTCCGGTCTCACCTGCGAGTTTGGGGGCTGCTACCGTATAGGAAAGCATCCCATACATGTCACCTCACCCATAGATTCGTAGAGAACGGCCCCCAGCAGCCCCTGGGGCCATGAACCGAGCCTGCTACAGGAGGGCTCCTACTTCCTGCGAAGGACTTGATGGCTGAGAGTTTTGAAACCAGGGTTATAAGTTACCCTAAATATCTACTTGATACACATATATGTTCTCAGGTGCGCAGGTAACTTGCTTTGTTCCAGATAGGACTCAGGTTGGATAACAGTAATGCAGATAGTAGGATAATAGCCTAACCATAATCGAAGATGCCCAGGTCAAGGACAAGAAGGGTAGAATGGCAAAGTGAAGTCAGGAAATTATGACCCAAATACGTGTTCCTGACAAGCTTACTCTGAGCTTTCCAGCGGTTTAAATTCAGACAAGTGTGCTCACCAAGTAGTAAATTCAAGGTGGGGGCTTACGTTGCATCCACAAGCTCAGCTGTGCAATAGGTGTAGCATAAAAAATAATTTAATTTACTTTCTATTTTGAGGCCCCATCTCAGTCAATTCAAAGATGCCCCTCCACCCCCACCCCTGCCGGCCTCTGCTGAGATGTCCACTGTCTGTCCTGGTCCTCGTGCAGGTCTTCTTCTGTCACCCCTATTCCAGGGTCTCTTTCTGTTGTTCCATACCATGCTGGACCACGGGGTACTCGGGTACCCAGTGACTGCTCTGGTCCTTTTCTGCCTTCCTCCTCCTCTGTCGCCCATGAGAATCACCCAGCTGCTTCCTCCTGCACTGATGCAGAGACAGGGAGGGTAGACGCTGAACTGGATCTAGATGCACCATGCGGATTTCCCACCTCCCCGCAGGGCCCAGGTCCTGGTGCCCTCAGACCTCTGCGGGGTGGCCGGGGTGCAGGCTCCATCTTGGGGGTGCTCCAGTGACTAAGCTCTCTCTGCCCCTTCTAGAAAACCCCTTCTTTGCCCTGTCTGGGGCTGGAAGACTTGTTTTGATTAATCCCCAGTTATCCAGATTCAAAAGCCTTTCCTTTGCTCTCTGGCTGTAACATCCTTCCTGGGAGCAATGGTGCTGGACCGTGGAGCTGCAGGTGGGATGACAGAGGCACAGCTCAAGGGTACAGAACCTCCAAGAGGGGATCATCAGTTAATACTAAAGAAAATTCTATCTCACCCTTGCGGATGTGGACATGGAGTGGGCAGAAGGAGCTGGGTTTGGCATATGAGATGGGTGTTGGGAGGATGAAGGGCCAGGCAGAAACCCCCGGCCCTCCTCCAAGGCAGAGGCAAGAGAGCCTGAAGTTCTGCCATTTGAGGCTCATTCTTTTGGCATCCTTTTTGGTGGAAAGATCTTTGGAAATGCCGGCCTTGTGAGATAGTAATAAAGCTGTTAGTGATTTAGCAAACTATGGCATTCGGACCCCAGAAAGGATGTGTGGAACTCCGGCATAGGAGGGGACCTAGAATGGGGAGAAAAGCAGCCATCGCTTCCATGATGGCCCTGCCTGGAGCCCCCACTCCACCCCGGAGAGAGGGGAGAGCTTTCTGCTCCACTCCTCCCATCTGACCCCGCTCCAAGGGTGCGGTGGGCCACCGCAGACCACCACCAGAGGTCCCGATGGCAGCCTGTTGTCAGTGAGTCTGTAGGAAATGCTTTCCATTCGTTCAACATGTAAACAACCTACTTTATTTATATTCTGGGCTCCCCACAAGTGAAGAAGAAAAGTAATGCCACTGAAAATGCCAGATGTGAAATCCTTGGGCATATGTAAAAGAATAATCTAGCCTCCGGGTAATGGACATTTGTGTTCAGATCTCTGACCGAGCAGCAGGAAATTTTAAATCACCTGCAGCTGACTGTTTCTCGTGGTCTCCCCAGGAGGCTGCTGCCCGGAGGGGATATGGCCCATTTTATTGGGAATGTGGAAATTCTGCCTTTGCTGGGCTTCTCCTCCAAGGACACTGGCTATGAATCATGGGTCCAGGAGACTTCCCATCTAAGCTGATCCTGGTATCTCAGAACTTGGGGACACATGGGGAGCTGTGAATATGCACCGAATCGGGAGAGTGGGATGACTGATGAACGTGGGAAAGTCCCCAAAGTTCCCTCCTGCAGGTACAGGCTTTGCTCCTAAACTTGAGGGATGTCTCTGCATGGAAACATGCTGCCGAGATATCAGTCCTTCCAGGGCAATGGTTTCAGTGAGCTAAATGCTTGAAAAGATCTCCCCAGTTTATAAAACACTTCGTCTCCCTTTCCCCCTAGTCCTGGACCTCCCAAGGAAAGCTCCTTTACATCCTTGACAGTGCACATACATGCAGCATCTGCCAGGATCCTAAAATCTTGATACCATGACATTTAATAGGGAACCATGATAGTTTGGGTAAGGTATGATAGGAAACTAAATTACTTATTATTGGAAATTTGTATTTGTAGTGATTTTTTTTTCCACTTTCTGGGCAGCTGATGGCCTCACTCTTCTGTAAAATTCTAGCAGAGTTCACTTACCCAGTGCCAGTTCTTCTGCACTCACACACATGTGCACAATGTGGATTCGTTACCGTCTGTGACAACTAACACGCGTGTCATGGACACGGTTTCCTCGGTCACATCTAGGATGGTTCTAGCCAGTGTCTGGGTCACAGTGTTGAGGTCCACTTTCTAGAATGCAGGGGCCTCTGCCAGAGGTGGGGGCAGCCCAGTGTGCGGCCCAAAGAGCTGTCACTATTAATGTCCTGGGGAAGCTTTACAAAACCTCAGTCTCCTCATTTATAAAGTCGGATGATAATAGTACCTGCTTCCCCGGGTTCCTGTGCTCATCCAATTCCACAGTCCCTACAAAGTGCTCGTCAGGGTGCCTGGGCACTCACAGTATGTGCTCAGGTATAGTGGTCGTCCAGTCTGCAGCCTTTGGGCTCAGTCTGCATTCTTCTTTGCAAGAAACAATGCATTCCAGAGAAATATGGCGAGAGAATATCTGTCCGTAGGCAGTGGCCAAAGAGAGAGGCACAGCTGCCTCAGACAATGGTTCTCAACTGAGGGGGCGATTTTGTCCCCCAGGGGACCTTTGGCATGTCTGGAGACATTTTTGTTGCCTCAAGTAGGGGTGGGGGTGCTACTAGCATCTAGCGGGTAGTGGCCAGGGATGCTGCTGAACATCCTGTAGTGTACAGGGTGGCCCCATGACAAAGAATCACTTGGCCCCCAATGTCAATAGAGCTGGGTCTGAGATAAGCCAACAAGAATTCTGGATGCTATTCATTGCCTTCCTATGCTCTGCCCTGAGCAGGGGTCTTCCACAATCCCAGGGCTGGAGTACATCGTAGGGGCTCCCTAGAGCTCTCAGCTTCCCCTTTCTTGCCCCTCAACTCTGCAGAAGGACTCAAGCTGATAGTCAAGGCGAGACATACCATCAGTGCTCGTGCAGGATCCACACCAGTGTTCTCATCGTGCCTGAATACATTTCAATTACATGAATTTGGTTTATTAATGGTTTCTATGAAAGATGTGCTCATGAAAAAGGTACACACAAATTAAACTTTAGTCAATATTTTAAGTGCACTTGAGAGGTTTTAACTTTCAACTTAATATTTACAGTATTTAGTTTAAAAGGGCCTGGAAAGAACATGATTAGTGGCCATGACTGCAGATCAGACCAGGGTGACAGATTCCATTCTGCTTCTCAATAGCTCGATGACGTTAGCAATATTTCTTCCTGAACCTCAGTATTC